TGGAGCAAGCGGAAACGCTCAGACCGCCCCCTGTCCTATGCCCAGGCCCTCATCCAGGCAGGCTGCGAGGAAACCATCGAGGCCACCGTGCGCAAACGAAGACTGTGTTTCGCGGGCTTTGTTATGCGCATGGAGGACAACCGCCTCCCCAAGCGCATGCTGTTAGGAGCGATGGCGGGGGGCGTGAGATACCGGGGCGGGCAGGAGAGCGACTGGGTGTCTCATCTAGGAGAGGACCTCGTGACCTTCAACATGGGAGACGAAAAGGAAGGGGGGAAATGGAAAGAGAGCGCCAAGGGCCCGGAGGTGTGGTACAACAAGGTCGAGGACGGGGCGGCATGGTTCATGAGGAAATGGCACAGGCAGGAGGCGGAAGCGTCCGCGAAGCGCCAGCGCGCGAGGGAAGCAGAAGCAGAGAGTACGGCCTCAGGACCGAAGAGAAAGAGAGCCGGGGAAGCGGCGGTGGGGGGGAAGAAACGGCGACCGGGCACTGCTGTAGAAGCGAGTAGGGCGGTCGAGGCAGCACTTGTGGCGAACTATATACCCGGCTGATGCTGTTGCGCCCTGTTTCCCTCCCTGTTGTGTGCTATACTCCCTTATGTATGTCATTTGTATTGCCTTCGGCCTCTGTGCTGTGTTTCTGTGTTTCTTTTTTTCATGACCTCCCTGCCTACTCTGCTGTGTTGGGTACCGTGATCTCGCTTTGCTGTTGCTGTTGCCTTTGTTCTTTGTACGTCTGGCTGTCTGCCCATCTGCCGCCTCTTTGTCCTGTTTGCCCCGTTACTCCCATGCCCTGGTGCGTAGTGCCTGGTGCTGGTACGTTACCCTTTGGTTTTTTCTTTGGGCGGGTGTGGGAAGCGTCCTCCTATAATTTTGTTTTTGTTTTATTTTGATCGGTTTCCGAGGGCTCTTTGCACGAACGGTCGGTGCGATACCTGTTCTTTTCTTTCTATCATGATGTTTTCTTGTTCCGAGTGGTTTGTACCCTATTTTTGTTTTGTTTCCCCGCGGCGTCGTATGTGCCGGGTTTTGAGACCACGGGCTCCCCATTTTTTGTGGACTATAGAGCGAATGTGAGAAACAACAACAACAACAACAACAACAACTAGGCCAGGAGCGGAAGCGAGAGAAAAACTCACTTCGCAAGAAAAAATGCTCGCTTACGCCGGGATTGGAACCCCTGACCTGACCTCCAGAAGGTTCCGAGGTTACCACCTAGACCACCGGGGTTACCGGACTGTACCTTTCAAACGAGTTCAAGAAAAAAGTTCCCTTTCGGGTAGAACTTGACACGAGGTTTATTTTTCTCCGTAACTGGTCGCTCCGGTAGTCTATCTAGTGATATCCTCGCAATCCGCTGGTCGCAGAGGTAGGTCGTGAGTTCGAATCCCCGTGGGGTGAAAAATGTGCGGGTGAATGTGCGGGTGAAAGCGTAAGCTGACAGTCGATCGTAAAGCCAAACGGGGGCATTCTGATAACATATTCATTCATTCGTGTTCCCACCCTAAAATTACCCAACATCGAAATCTACATACATACCTATATCAACACGTGGATCGCGTTCCGCGGGAGGGGACTTGTCAGTCTAATCCCTAGTAAATCTCAGGTTATTATGCCCTCGTTTTACATATATATGTGCGCAGCTGTATCAACATCACATCGATTCCGATCAAAATTCTGACGATGATGGATTCAAATTCGTGATCTGCACCCCAAAATTACCTTAGAATGAAAATTTCATAAAACTCGAACGGGTTTGTTTGAATTTTCCTCGGGGGCCCCGCGGATGCAAATTTCCCTCCATTTTCCCTATTATCTATTCGTGAGTGACTTTGTCACCATGACGGCCCAATATATAAAAAAGCACACTATTTTCGTGATTTGCGTGACCTAACGGAAACGTGTGCAAAATTTCAGATAGATATAGAAACTCACTCCCGGCCGCGTTCTGAAACAACACTCATGTGGAAAAGAGGGTTTCGTCCTCAACAGACGTTGGGGAATTTCAACCTTTATGAAGGTGTTCTCCACATTATACCCCCCCCTTTTTCGAGGCTTCTCCTTGTTTGCTAGGCAAGAGAAGTCTTCTTGGGGTAACCGGAACCCGACCGGTGGCGGCGAGTAGAACCACCGTTTTTCCAACAATCTTCTGTGCGTGTGTGCGGGTGCACCACTTCCGCCACGCATTGCCAGAAGTTTCGAGTTCGATAGACAGTGAGTGCATCGTTTCTTGGCCCACCCACCGTTTTTCTTTTTCCGTACTCCGGAAGAAAATTAGGTGAGTAGCGGGGTTTGAACCCGTGTCTTTTGCGACCAAAAGCAGACACCTTACGTCTCTTTGTCGACGCCACTCACTATGGAAAAGAGGGTTTCGTCCTCGACAGACGTTGAGGAATTTCAACCTTTATGAAGGTAGGTGTTCACCACACTCACTCGTGAAAAATAGAAGGCTTTATTTGGCTCGGAACCCATCCCGTGTGCTCATTATCGGGCGTCTTGTTCGTGCCTACCTATCGTGGATGGTTACCCGCCGAAAGAATCAAAAACTTCAGACAGGCACCGCGACGATAACCTCGTCGAGTTGCTGTCGTCACAATATAGCTAAAACGATCCTATTTGGATTGGAACCGGCGATGTTTGTTTTTATGTTTGTTTTTCTCTTATCATTGGATTCTGTCGTCTGCCCCTCTGGCCCCTATCCTCCACTTCTACCAGCTAGACGACCCAACCGGTTGTGTGGTGTCACATAGGAGGGGGGGGTTGGACCCCCTCCTGCGGTTCCTGCCTGAGATGTTTTTATCGCGAGAAGGGTACAGCAATCCCTTCCCTCGCGACTTATGAAGTCGATCAAGTTTACTAACAGCGAGCTTTGCAGCGCGTCGCTTCCAACGGAGACCAGGATTTTTTAAGCGAGAAAAAACCCACTCTGTCGGGACTCGAACCCATGACCTGGCCCTTAGCAGGCTACGAGGCTACCCACTAGACCACCGGGGCGACTAGTTGTATGCTATGATGATCATGATCATGAAAACAACACTACAACATGTACCTCGTACGAACCCTTCTCTCTGTCGGAGGGCGATGCATTCAAAACCACAGTACGACATGTACATCGTTCGAACCCTTCTCTCTGTCGAAGGGCGATGCATTCAAAACCACAGTACGACATGTACATCGTACGAACCCTTCTCTCTGTCGAAGGGCGATGCATTCAAAACCACCATCTCGACCAGCCAATTTGTGGGCGTGTGTCCCGCACGCGACAAAAGCAGAGACCGCAAAGAACCCAAGGCGGAGCTTCGGAATGGACGCACTAAGCACCAGGAAAGCTTATCCGCGCTTCCGACGGCACTCAAGGAAGGGTGGGGGGGTGCAGTCATAGTCGTGCATGCCGTCGTCGATAGACCATTGACCTCCTCGCATCCCTACAAAGCCGGGACGGAGCACGCACCGGGTTGTCACTGGACCAGGCTCTCACATCACCAAGCGCGTTGCGCCGTGAGGTATTCGGCGAGTCGCATGGATGGATGGTGCGCTGCATCCTGCTTAGTATAACTTACAAGCAGTTTTGACGGTGTTGTGTATGGGTAGGGGGAGTACTCCCTGTGTCCGTGTTGTTCCCAGATGTTGTCGCATCAAGTGGCAGATGTGTCATGGACAGGTAGTCTAGACGTGGAAGGGCGGCAACAGGTGAACGGCAGCAGCATATGTTGTGCATGGTGGCATGTTGGGCTTGTACAAAGACGCAGTCCATCTTCGACCACACACGAAGGAGTTTGTTCGTACCTGTCGGAGTTTTGGAGGGTCCAAGTCAGTCGCAAGCAGCAGTAGGAAGGAGCGAACAGGCGCAGTGCTTCTCTACAGCTTTAGAATCCGTCCTCCTCAAATCCTAACGGAGATAATTACGTATCGCACAACGACTGGATCCGAATTGCCGGCTAGCTCCGAAACCCAGGAGAGGTGGGGGAGTAGCTCAGACGAATGGCTGCGTGTGCGCTCCTTCATGTGGATACTTGGCTGACTCTTTGAAGTGCATACTTGGCTGACTCTTTGAAGGGTAGAATTCTGGTTAGGCGTCATTTGGCGGCATTTCGGCATTTCCAGTATTTGCCATTGCCACCTGGATGCATGGGAATTTTGGCGAGGAAGTCGGTCATAAGTTTCTCACTCTACTTGCAAGGGACACGTTTCATTTTCAGTGTTCCTCCTTGCGGCTTCGACGGTCAAATATGTGGTTGCCCACACATCTTTGCATCGTTACATACTATAATGTGCCTTATTTTTCATTAGTTTTCATCATTGGTAGGCACATTATTGTCGTTGACAGGTTAGATGTAAACGTTAGAATGTGTAATGTTGGCGTTGAATTCCGCGTTGTTGTTGTGGTTGTATCAATTATTTCGTTAACCATGTCGCACATTTCGTTCTGATCATACATAATATTACTTTCATATTCCATTATCACAGGTTGGCCATCTCCCATCCGATGCTAAGACCATTTTTTTTCTTTCCACCACGAAGTTCTTTTCATCTATTCGCTTCCAGATACCCGTCTCAACTCTAAGCCAGTACGAATTTCTGACTGTGGGTACATGTACGTTCCTAATGTTCATAGTAACCGGCGATGTACGCAAAAACGAATACGAGAAGTTATGCAAAGTGTTACGAACAAGTCTCGAAGTTTCTCTCTTGGTGTGACCGGTGGCAGTATCGATCAGCAATGCCGCACAGACTTTTGCGCGCCCGAATATGCGTGCGACAGCTTTAACCTAACCACTTCGGTGGAAAGCGAATTTCTGTTCGATACGGTGTTACGGGTACCAGGGAAGACGGGGCCGAGTTTTGTTTGATTTCGGGTGGATGAGGTTGGGGTTTTGTTCGTTTTTCTTTATTTAAGGTTCGTGCCTAGAGTTCAGCTGTAGTGTTTCAACCAAAGTTTTGTTTGACTTAGAGGCAAACATTCCTAGCTATTGGGCATCGAGTTAATTTGGCTTGGCGTGACGGCCTTTACGATCGATCGACTTTTAATGTATGTCTGCATTTATCTACAATTGTCGGAGGGCAAACAAAAACTATAATATGTCTATATATATTTATTTTTTTTGCCTTCCGACAATTGCAGATGTACCTCAGAAAACTTTCACTTAATGTCTCATACTCTACATGAATATTAAACCAATACGAAGTACAACAACATGTGTAGGACATATTTCTACTGTCACTTACATCGTAAAAATATGAATAGAAGCGTGCAAGCATGTCGTCCATAAGTCTGGCCGTTGCTGTCTGAAAAAATCGAACATCAGTACATCTTATGGCAAATAATCGGCACATTTGACAATGTAAAGTAGACATTATACAACTAGTAGACAATAATGTCTCCCAGTGGGGGAATGCCCGATATTGCTGCAACGTAGCCATATGTTGGCGCTTATCATACATCCCAATATGCGTCTTACCCGGAATATCCTGCCCAATTCGCATATCCAGAAAATGTGCAGATTCCCCACACTGTTCTCGAGTAATACGAACCGGGCTTTCTATCTCGTTTCCATCCGAGTCTAAAACCGTTACCGGGTACATCCCACCATGTTTACCACCGTCCTTACAGATAATGTCTTCAAACGTTGGTCCACTCTGGTTACTATATCGTATAGTGAAAATGTCGTCTATGTACCTCTTTGTACCAATACTAAATTGTTCTATAAATTCGAAAGGGTAAAGAGGTACAATTCCGGCAGTCTTGGCTGCTACTAGATACTCATCTACCATTTCGTTTAAAAACTGGAATTCATGCATAAATGCAAAAATGTTCGCTAGGTCTGGGGCCGGAGCCGTTCCCATAAAAGATTCCGGAGGCTTGTTGGTACATGTCGTTCCCAAATTGTACAAATCCTTCATCTAGAAGAATAAAGTCGACCCGTGTACAGATCCGTTCTCAACCCACAAAGTGTTTACCGCCTACATTATAATTTACATTACGCGGGATTTCCTTCGCCCATGAAACTTCCAACAAACAACTGGTTGGTGTCTTTTCATCAGCAGCTGCGGTTCCCCACCTTAAAATCATGGATTTAAATCCGTACTTTTCGGCCTGGTATTCAAACGCAAGTTTCAAAGCTTCCCTCAGTTTTTCTTTTAGTGGGACTATAGGGATACTAGGGTACATGCCTACAAAATCAAACGTTTTAAATACATGGGCATCTGTGCATCCCTCCATTTGTGCCCGAATGTCAACATCTTGTGTAACTTCTAAAATATTCTCCCCGCTACTCTAAGAGGTAATCCAACATTCTTTGGCTGCAACGCCAACCTTTGCACATACTTCACGCCACAGTGCGTGAAGGCATGACCGAATATTGACAAGGACTGCATTGACAAAACCTTAGCCACCCTTTCCGTTATCGTCCCACAGCATGCCGTAATTCCACGTGTCGCTACCAATTGTATATGCAGTTTGGCTGTGAGGTATCGCGCTGGTAACTCTTCAGTGTTTTCATACTGAATGTCACCTTCCTCATCCTTATTCTGTCGCTGGGGGATAGGGAGCTTTTCGTGTGTCAAAAACTTATGTTGTCGGTCAATAATCTCCCGTTTAACCATCTCTAAATCCCCTTGTATGGTTCGATATCCTGGTCCTTGAAGTTCAGTTGTCGCTAACCAACAATATTAACAAGCCTTGCATGTGATACATATATATACAGCTGGCCGCTTTGTCGACGCTTGTAAATACTACTTTGTCTTGCAACCGTTTAAATGCTATCCCAGCTGCCATAAAGTATATTTGGCCTGTAAGAGGCGTATCTCGCTCTCCTGTATCATCATCAGTATCACTTACTTTCTGTTCTATCGCTGTGTACAATGCTTCCTCCCATTCCTCAACATCATAACGTGGTATCTTAGCTAAGGTCATGACACAACCCACCAATCAATGTAGACTATGTATTTATGGCATCTACGAGTGATTTTAAGAATGACAGATCGTTCGGGGCTTCTGCGTATTCTGCTCTAAAACCAGCTTGCAGGTTCAGTACGGCTGCAGCGTTGGCATCATGAAGGCATGCTGTGTCCGTGGTAACCAAACGCTTAGACCCATCCTTCATGGTAACCGTGTACTTACTCCATTGGGGGTCTTTGCAATTACACCTATACTTACTTGGCGTGGTCCGTAGCTCGCGCAACGTTGGTCATGTTAAAAATCAGTCTGTCGAAAGTTTCGCCGTACTTACAGCAGGGGATAATACGTTGGATAGCATCTCGGAACGCTCGGTTNAACCAGCTTGCAGGTTCAGTACGGCTGCAGCGTTGGCATCATGAAGGCATGCTGTGTCCGTGGTAACCAAACGCTTAGACCCATCCTTCATGGTAACCGTGTACTTACTCCATTGGGGGTCTTTGCAATTACACCTATACTTACTTGGCGTGGTCCGTAGCTCGCGCAACGTTGGTCATGTTAAAAATCAGTCTGTCGAAAGTTTCGCCGTACTTACAGCAGGGGATAATACGTTGGATAGCATCTCGGAACGCTCGGTTTTGGGGGGGAATGTACGCTAGAATATTGGCACGCATGAACATCCCACGTAGTCCTACGGCATTTGCCACAGAATTCGTAAAACCAATCACGATCAGTTGGGGTACCTTTCGTTGTTTAACCAGCAGCGGCGGGGGGAACGACGCAAAGACGCAAGGTACGCTCGGCGCAATGCTTGAAATGCTGGGTGCAGTTCAGCTGTGATAACAAAATGCCCTGCATACCTTATCATGCGTAGCATGTTTTTGGTTGCTAGCGCCTTGATTGATGTAGGTATCTACCTTGTACGGCTTAAACTTGATGAGCTTAGGGGTATTATTATCAGGCCGAAAAAATACGTATTCGGTTACGAAACCGTACTTTCTTGAAATATATGGAGGCGTTCCTCTACGTTTCCGTAAAAAGAGCGAAGCGTATTCTATTTTTTTCTTAATATGACACAGCACTTATTCTACAGCAGCAGGTACAGCAGTGTCTGCATATGCATACAGCAGCAGTCGTTGTATGGGAACGACAGGAAGGTACTATGGTGGCGCTGAAATAAGTTCAGCAGCAAGTGTGAGTAGAGCGTGCAACACACGCCGGCACCACTATACATTATACATGCCTCGTCGGGAGCCTACACAGGTTGTCGTATCCCGCAATGATAGCANGATGACATGCGTCCTTTGACGCTGGCGATTGCAAACACACCCCCTATGACACTGGTACATATTTCCTGACCGACACACGCTCATCCTTTGAACATTATCTGCGCGTCGCTCCGAAACCCCACAGCACTGCGATCGCCAATCAACGGCGCCATAGCTGTAGAAGTCCGCGTTGCCGTGGCGTTGAGGATCCTGGCTGGCGCTAGTTACTGGGATGTTGCCCTCATGTTTGGCTTGTCGGTGCCGACCACGTACCAGATCTTGTGGTCGGTGATCGACGCCATCAACAAGATGCCTGCGGGTTGGGGCATTCGACTTCCCCCTGACCGAGGAAGGCTGCATGCGAAATGCCAACAGATTCAAGGTGAGGCCAAACGGTGGTCATTACTGCTGCTGTGGGTTATTCTTGGCGGCATTCTCTTGACCAGCCGCGGGATGTCGTTTTTTTTTAATTACGTCTGGCGTTTCCAGCCGTTTTAGTGTAGGAAGGCCTATACACAGCCTTCGACGGTAACGCAGGCAAAAAAATGTCGTCCCCGGCGGATACAAGTTCGGATTGTCATCGTGGTCAGCATGCCTTTAATTGAAATACAACCCCCGGGTCCCGGGTGGTTCGCCAGCTGTTGGTCTGTGTACAAATGGCCTTTTTACAAATGAATGTTTTTTTTTGTGTCATCATTATGTATGCTGGCCGTGTTGGTTCCGCCCCGCAACAGTGGCCCGGCAACTAACTGCTTTAAGTCAACCACGTGGCTCTGAGATACCCTGGTACATTTTTACCGCTGAACCTGACGCAATATTAGGATTAGCAAACACGGCATGTGCACCGTTGCTGGTGACGGCGCCGTCGCACACGACATCAACCCACACAACGTACAGCCGAACGCAATTTACCGAAGTTCGTCAACGTCCATCTCTCGACTAGTTTTGTTCCCCTTCCCGGCACTGCTACTTTCCCGCCCTCGTATCTGCCGTCTACAAATGCAGGAGAAGAGCACCGATGGCATTTTCTCCTGGGTCGTCGCCGCCGTGGATGGTCTGTTCATCAAGGCCAAGGCTCCGTGTGCGAAGGACACCGCCAACGTCATCGCTTACTACTCCGGCTGCAAGTCCCCGTACGGCATCAACGTACAAGCGATGTGCACCGCCGACTACCGGTTCTGCGCAATGTCGGCGATCTCTTCAGGCTCCACGAACGACTGGGTGGCATGGAATCGATCTTCCCTCGCCAAGGCCGTCGCCCGCTTGCCCGCCGGATTTCACATCATTGGTGACGCCGCCTATCCCATCGGAGAATAGCTTCTGACGCCGTACCCTGGGAGGCTCCTGCCGCCGGGTGAGGACTCGTGCAACTTCCACCTGAGCCATCTTCGTGTCAAGATCGAGCAGGGCTTCGGCATCCTGGTTTCGACTTGGGGCATTCTGTGGCGACCTCTCCGTGTGCAGTTCGGAGGACGTGCGGATCTCATCACGGCTCATTTTCATCTGCACAACTTCCTGCAAGACGAGAAGGTAGCGCCGATCCAGCTTGCAGAGGAGGACTCCTGCAGCGGGCGCAACCGGCTGGCCCTCCGTGCTACGCAGCGCACCTTGCCGGCTGGCTGGCAAGCGAAGCAACCGGCTCCTTCGAGGAGCGGTGAGACCCCGGCCCGAGCGGCTATCCGCATGATAGCGGCGCGGGAGGGAGGGGCGCGGGAGGGAGGTACCTCAATGTAGAGGGCGAAGGGCGCTGGAACAACGTGTTTTGGGTGTTAGCGCTAGGGTGTCGGCACGTCCCGGGGAGAGGTGGGGGGTGTGATGTGTGACATGTTGATTCTCGCTCACATGTTTTGTGGGTGTCGGTGTGGAGCGTTCTGACCAGATATGTCCGGGTACACTTGGTTCGTAATGTGTTTGTTCATGCCGGCAACACTTTATGGTTAACATGCATCGTGTGCGGATGAAAGCGGGGTCTGGTAGGTCTCGGAGGGTGCTTGTTTTACCTAGGGCATTAAAAGTGTGGGCATGTTCGACTTTTGTTTTTTCCTAATTAGGAGCGTATGAATCGAAAACGTTGTTGTCGTTGATACAACTTTGAATGGTGTCTCTGCATCCCTGCATTAAATATTCGTCGCGTGGGTGAAACATTGCTCCAGGTTGCAGACCTGAAGGAGACCCACACACACGCTAAAAATTGGGGTCTTGTCGAATCCCATCGCGAACACATTCCTGCGCTTCAAGTGAGCATGCGCGGAGACGGGAAAAATAGTAAGGCTCCAAATTTGCGGAACCCAAGCGTGCCTCAGAGTTCCCGTCAACACCCAACGTAGTATTGGGTTGCAAGAACAAGTCTTGCAAATAGGAGAACACCAAACGATATGCATGTCCGCAGATTGCCGACACGGCAGGTTACCCGCAAGACAGCAATGTCTTGGCGTTCTTCCACCGTATTTTTTCGTTGATACTCCTTTGTTGCCGTAAGGCATCCTCTCAAAGTGTTGTTGCCAACCAAACAACCTACACGTCTCTGCGGAGGCGCACGTATCCT